CCCCCTTCCTCCCGGGCCCGCGATTTATTTGCGCGAAGCACGGGGAGGGAGCGGAGGTGCGGACGTGTAATTGTGTTGACATTCCTGCCGGTGTTCCCGGGGGTGACGCGAGCTCCGCGGGGAGCCCCCTCGCCGCCCCTCCCCTCCCAGCGAACCCCAACGAACCCCGGCCCCCCTCCCGACGTCGCCCGCCCCCTCCCCCGCGGTTATATAATTGGGGTCGGCGCGGGAATGCAAGTTCTCCGCGTCGGCGCGGCTTGGACGTGGGGATTAAGCGGGGGGCTGCGCCCGTGGTTTCTCTGCCGCACGGCGGGCGCCATCCCTCACCGGGGCGGGCGGGGGGGGGGGCGGGGGCCTGTGGGGGCCAGCCTGGCGGCGCGTGCGTGCGTGTACGCGCCCGCTGCCCCGCGCGCTCCGCCCAAACCAGCGCCGCATTCCTGCTCGGAGAGAGTCGCGTTTGTGTTTGCCCGTCGCGGGCAACGCGCCGAGCGTACGCACGAGGCGCGACGCGCCCGGAGGGTACGCGCTCGCCGCTCGCTCTCCGCGACCATCGCACCCCGCCGTGTGCGTACGCGCGGGCGTGCGGACCCGGCACGCGTGCGTGCCTTGGCGCGGAGGCCGTGCATCTCAGCCGTTGCAACTAAAAAAATGGGGGCGATCGATATTCGCTGCGAAAGAACAACGGGAGGCGACGCGCGTGTGTGCGTGTGTGCGTGTGTGCGTGTGTGCTTGCGTTTGACGGCTGCCGAGGGCTGTTGGCCAGACCGACACGCGCACGCGCACACGCGCTCAGTTTACCCAACACAGAGTGCGCTTCAACACGATGATGCTCGAGAATTCATTTCTCACCAAAATATTTTCTATGTCGACGTTCGACTGGAGCATCCGGCACGTGGCTAGTGTTCGCGCCAGTCGCCACGGTCATATTGAGACATATACTGGCTGCGGTGTGCCAGGGTGCGTATACATTTTCTGGCTCGCCGCTGCCCGCCGAGCGGATCCCATGCGGCGGGGACGACGGCGACGCCGGCGTCCGCGGCCGTCGTGGTGTTTTTTGAGTCCGGCATCGAGCGCCGTGCACGGAGAGCAAATGGCGCAGGGCCCTCTCCGCCACACTCGGGAGTTCACGCTCCGCCAACGGCTCCGCGAGCGAGCGTTTTTTGAATATATTTTTTTGCTATTGGAGGAAACCGGAGAACCCGCGGGAAAAACCGTAGAGGACACGGTGGGGGGAGTACGAATCCCGCACAGTCGGATGCCCGCCCCGAGTCGGCAGTCGAACCCTGCCGCCAAAATAATTTGCCAGCGCGGCATCGGCAATGGGTGCAGCACAAGCACGCAACAAAGTGTCGGCGCCTTCGTCGATGACACCGTGGCCTTAAAAGGGATTCGCTTGGAAGTAGGGCTGTTGCCTGAAACGTTACCAGCTTACAGTGATATGCTCCACATTATTAAGCCCTTTCGCCGCATACCGATTTATTATCTCATTATATAATCGCCGTCACGTGTTTGGCGTTGAAAAATCAAGTTCACCGAAAGATGGTTCAAACGCGGCGGCCAGACGGTTCACGGGGGAAATGGCCATGGCGATGTTGATGGAGGTGCAGGGCAGTGGTGATCCAGAGCACTCGAGAGGCAAGGGTTGGTGGATCGCGCGGAGAATTTGTGCAAACCTTCCAAGCCCCGCTGGGCGGTAAGGGCAAGTGGGTTTCTGCCAGCGCGCGCGTCGATTCAATCGCTCGTTGAGTGACGCGAATCGATGCAAACGGCGTGTGACGACGCGAGTGCGGGGGGGGGCGCACGTCACGCGCAACACACCTGCTGCGGCAGCAGCAGCATGGGCGGTTCTACCTCGGTGCCTTAATGAGGGTGCCGGCATGCGCCGAGTGGGTATCGCACGTTGACGATGGACAGGAGGAGGGGCACGTGGACTGGAGGACACGCGCTCGTTATTGGTAACATTTCCCGCTCCGCGAATGCCAGACGTGGCATGACGGCCAGAAGAGCGGGATGACGGTCGACGAGGACGGGGACTGGGAGCAACGCGTTTGGGACCCGCGTCCACCACGGAGATGGAGCGACGATGAAATCGGTTCGCGTGCGGGTGCTGGGCGGGCGTCACTATCGTAACATCTCCGCTGACTGATTGATCGCGATGGATTATTGATTTTGATAATAATGCATCTTGATAATAATCACGGGGATCGGAGGGAAGTGCCGCCCTCGGTGGGGCCAAGAGTCGACGCCACTACCATCGGTCCCTGGTGCGCCACGCCGGCCTTCACAGACCGCTCGCTAAGAGCACTTGCCCCAACAGTCTGTGTAGGCTACACGGGGGGAGTCGGGGGGCATCTTTGTCTTTGTGCCACATGCTTCCGGCCGGGCCGGAGAGCAGTCGACCCAGCAGGCAAACTAGGCGAGGCCCCGTGACGATGGCGCAAGTCGCCGGGCCGCCGGACGACCCTGGCCGCTGCGGGCCGCGGAGACGGAGAGAGCGGCCATGGCAGCGGCGGCGGCGGCGGCGGAGGTCGCGCGGTCAGTTTGACGTCCAGTTTGGGCGACGTGGGCGACGTCCTCCTGACGTCGCCCGGCTTCGGCGGTTGCCGTGGCTGGGGCCCGCCGCCTTCGCCGCCCGCGTGTGCACGTGGTGCGGGGAGGGGTTAATCTGGAGCTGAGCCGCGCCGCAGCCAAAGGCGTAAACACGGCGGCACGGCCAGGACCGGGGCGGGGGTGCGGGGGTGGAGGGAGAGAGGGAGAGGGGGGGGGGTGGGGGGGCAGTTGGAAGGACGCAGCCGCCAGGGTCCATTACGCAGCGCGCTGCCCAGGCATGCGCGCTCGCTGTTTCTACGCACGCTCGCTGTTTCTACGCGCGCTCGCTGTTCCTACGCGGACGATTGTGCGTGTCCGCGCGTGTACACGTGCGCGGGCCCGCGCGCCAGCGGTCGCTCGGGGTGACGGCGCCGCTCCGCCGATCGCGCTGGATTCCGGGTCGCAGGTAATTTATTAAACGCGCGTTTTAATTGCGTCGCCGCTCGCGACCGCAGCTGCCGGGCCAATTTCATCGGTGAGGGATCGTCGATGTTCGCGCCGTCGAGTGCCGGACGGCCGCGTCGGTTGCGTTCACGACGACGCGGATTTTGTGCCCACGGTAACCGACGAGGGGAGGATGTGACCGGACGACAAAACCGCGAGCGGCGCCTCTCCGGCTCAACCCGGCGACCTCGCTCGCCGTGCCCGTGCCGGGAGCTCGCCGTGCCCGTGCCGGGAGTTCGTGGTGACCGCGGCGGTGCCGGTGGCGGCCACCGGGGGGTGGGGGTACCGTTTAATTGGCCGCCCTCAGGGGGAGTCCGTTGGGGGGAAGGAGCAGCGGTGATGGTGAGGAAGGAGAAGTCCTGCTGGGCGTGCGGTGAAGTAAAGGCATTCGGTTATGTGGCTAACGGAGTGTGGTTACGTGAAGGCGTGTGGTTACCTGACTAACGGAGCGTGGTTAGGTGAATGTGTGTGGTTACGTGGCTAACGGAGTGTGGTTAGGTGAATGTGTGTGGTTAAGTGACTAACGGAGCGTGGTTAGGTGAAGGTGTGTGGTTAAGTGACTAACGGAGCATGGTTAGGTGAATGTGTGTGGTTACGTGGCTAACGGAGCGTGGTTAGGTGAATGTGTGTGGTTACGGAGTGTGGTTAGGTGAATGTGTGTGGTTACGTGGCTAACGGAGCGTGGTTAGGTGAATGTGTGTGGTTACGTGGCTAACGGAGCATGGTTAGGTGAATGTGTGTGGTTACGTGGCTAACGGAGTGTGGTTACGTGAAGGCGTGTGGTTACCTGACTAACGGAGCGTGGTTAGGTGAATGTGTGTGGTTACGTGACTAACGGAGCGTGGTTAGGTGAATGTGTGTGGTTAAGTGACTAACGGAGCGTGGTTAGGTGAAGGTGTGTGGTTAAGTGACTAACGGAGCATGGTTAGGTGAATGTCTGTGGTTAAGTGACTAACGGAGCGTGGTTAGGTGAAGGTGTGTGGTTAAGTGACTAACGGAGCGTGGTTAGGTGAATGTGTGTGGTTAAGTGACTAACGGAGCGTGGTTAGGTGAAGGTGTGTGGTTAAGTGACTAACGGAGCGTGGTTAGGTGAATGTGTGTGGTTAAGTGACTAACGGAGCGTGGTTAGGTGAAGGTGTGTGGTTAAGTGACTAACGGAGCGTGGTTAGGTGAATGTGTGTGGTTAAGTGACTAACGGAGCGTGGTTAGGTGAAGGTGTGTGGTTAAGTGACTAACGGAGCGTGGTTAGGTGAAGGTGTGTGGTTAAGTGACTAACGGAGCATGGTTAGGTGAATGTGTGTGGTTATGTGGCTAACGGAGTGTGGTTACGTGAAGGCGTGTGGTTACCTGACTAACGGAGCGTGGTTAGGTGAATGTGTGTGGTTACGTGACTAACGGAGCGTGGTTAGGTGAATGTGTGTGGTTAAGTGACTAACGGAGCGTGGTTAGGTGAAGGTGTGTGGTTAAGTGACTAACGGAGCATGGTTAGGTGAATGTGTGTGGTTACGTGGCTAACGGAGCGTGGTTAGGTGAATGTGTGTGGTTACGGAGCGTGGTTAGGTGAATGTGTGTGGTTACGGAGTGTGGTTAGGTGAATGTGTGTGGTTACGTGGCTAACGGAGCGTGGTTAGGTGAATGTGTGTGGTTACGGAGTGTGGTTAGGTGAATGTGTGTGGTTACGTGACTAATGGAGCGTGGTTAGGTGAATGTGTGTGGTTACGCGGCTAACGGAGCGTGGTTAGGTGGCTATGAGTTTGGAGGCAGGAGACGGCCGTGGAGTCGCTCGTCCTGTGCGGCGCCCGCTCCACGCCGCTTGCTCCCTCCGGCCGCTCGGCCTGCTGGGAGTGCAGAGGTCCACGCGGGGTGACAGACGCGCCTAGAGTAGGCGTGTTGTCTGATTATTTTATTTCTCGTGTGTTGCGTTCTGTAATGTTGTGTCGTGCGCCACGTCGTGTATCGTGTCGCAGGTGAGACCGGGATGCTTCTTCGTGCCGCGCACCGTGGCCTTCACCGCTAGCGTCCGGCACCGCGCCTGCATCCCACGGCCGGTCCCGCTGTGCGGCTGCACCACCCGCCCACATGGAGTACGGCATCGGCAGCATCGTCAGCAGCAGCGGTAGGACCAGCAGGAGCATTTAGGCGGCGCCCCGTGCCGTGAGCGCGCCGGCAATCGCACAGCGGCGGCGATGACGAGCGAGCAGCGGCTCACGCCGGCGCCGGCGTTCCTCAACCTCCCGTCGGGCGCGCTGCACCAGGACTCGGCGCTCAAGGCGGCCGCCGCCACGTGGATCAGCTTCTCGTCGGCCGTGGCCGCTCAGCGGGCCCAGCAGCAGCAGCAGCTCGGCCGCGCCGCCTCCTCCTCCCCGCCGCCGATGCTGGCGCCGCCCCCGTCGCGCGCCGGCGACCGCTACGGCGATGACTCCCGCCGCCGCGGGGACGGCCGCCGCGACTACGACGACGACGACGAGGAGGACGAGCTTGACGAGGATGACGAGGACCGCCCGCAGGATCTCAGCGTGCGGGGGCGGTGCCGCGCGACGTCGGCGCCGTCTCCCGCGCCACCGCCGCAGTCGCGCGGCTCGGCGGGCGGCCGCTACGAGTGCAAGCACTGCCACCTGGCGACGCAGGACTTCGGCCTGTTCACGTGCCACGTGGACACGGCGCACCCCAACGTCGTGGTGAACCCCGTGTACATCTGCCGCGCGTGCGACTTCCGCACAGCGCGCCAGGGCGCCTTCGCCGAGCACAACTCGCGGCACCACCCGTCGCTCAACAGCATGCGCCTGCGCGTCATAAAGCGACAGGACCAGACCATCCTGGAGCAGAGCCCCGCGAGGCCCGCCAAGGGCCAGCCGCTGTCCATCTGCGACGGCGACAACGGACGCTCGGACGGCCGCCGGTTCAGGTCGGCGGCGGACGAGGGCGACGCGGCGGGGGCGCAGGGTCGCGCCGGACCGCTCGAGTGCCACGCGACGGCGCAGCAGGCGAAGGCCGCGTCGGCGGCGGACTCGGACGGGTCGCAGAAGACGCTGGCCGTGCTGCCGGCCGGCGTGGGGCTGGGCCAGGCGGTGCGGCTGAGCGACCTCTACGCTCCCGACGCCGGCCTCTCCAAGGGCGCGCTGGCGCTCAACGTGACCCAGCCGGCAGCCTTCCAGATCTTCAACCCGGTGCTGCACCACATCGTGCAGGGTCCGCAGCAGAACTTGCAGCAGCAGGTGGCGCTGCACGCCGCGGCCTCGCCCTACGGCGGGCACGGGCAGCAGTCGCACGCCGTGCAGAGGCTGTCGCCGGCGGCGCTCGGCGGTGGCCTGGGCTCCGTGGTGTCCATCCTGAGCGTGGTGGACCCCGACCCGGCGATGGACGCGAACCCGCACCTGGCGACGGCGTTCGCGCGCTTCCCGTACCCCTCCCAGGGCGATGTGTCGTGGCTGGCGTCCGTGACGCCCTTCTCCGAGGAGCGCATCCGCAGCTGGTTCGCGGCGCGGCGCGTGCAGAGCGGCATCAGCTGGTCCCCAGAGGAGATCGAGGAGGCGCGGCGGCAGCTGATCGCCAACGCCATCGCGGCGCTGGGCGCGGGGCTGTTTGGCGGCGGCACCGCGGGCGCGTTCGGCCTGAGCCTGGGCCACCTGGGCGCCGGCGGCGTGCTGGGAGGGCAGCCGGGCGGCGCTTCCGCGCCCGTCATTGCGGTGCTGCCCAGCCCCATCGTCATCCCCGCGCAGGCGCAGCAGGCGCAGCAGGGCCCGCAGCTCGTGCCGCACAGCGTCACCTACCAGATCATCAATCAGATCATCAACAATAACGGCGGCGGCGGCGGCACCAGCTGCAGCACCAGCACCAGCACCATCAGCAACCACGATGTCGGCGCGGGGGGCATCGTGTTCAAGCGCGCGGCGTCGGAGCAGCACGAGGAGACCGGCGGTGACGGGGAGGAGGCAGCGGGAAAGTTCGGGGCGGGCGCTCGCGCGGCGCTCGCCCGGCCACCGAGCGCCTCCAGGGACTGCGCCCACAAGCCCCGGAGGACGCCGCCCCACAAGCGACCGTGCGACGGCTTCGACGCCGGCGCCGGGAGTCCCAGGCGCCCGAGCTGCGGCAAGGGGCCGTACGGCACCGACGAGGAGTGCCGGAGCCGCGAGGCCTCCAAGCAGTTTTCGGCGATCGCGCCCAAGTTGCTGCCCGTCGCGTCGCAGCTGTCGAACGTCCGCGCGGAGGGGACGGACGCGGCGACCCCGGCGCCGCCCGGCGCCGCCGGGGCGTGGGCGTCGCCGTCGGACGGGGGGGCCTCCCCGGCCACGGCGCCGCCGCCCGGCGCGGGCGCCGCACCGCTGGCCCCGTCCTCGACGTCGTCGTCGCGGGGGCCCGAGCCGGCACCCGGCGCGGGCTCGGCGTCGGCGCCCAACCTGAGCCCGCTGCTCATGTCGCCGCTGTGGCTGCCGGTGGCCAAGCGCAGCCGCAAGCACAAGAAGAGCAAGGAGCAGCTGGCGCAGCTGAAGGCGAGCTTCGCCCTCGAGCAGCACCCCGACGAGGCGGAGCTGCGCAGGATCATGGAGCGCACGGGCCTCACCAAGTCGGAGGTGAAGAAGTGGTTCAGCGACAGCCGCTACCACTACCGCAACCTGCGCTGCCCCGGCACGCGCTTCTTCAGCCGCAACCTGCCCACCATGTGCCCCATGGTGTACGACGGTGGCGCCGCCGGCGCCGCCGCGGCCGCGGGATTGCGCGCGTTGCGCCAGGACGACTTTGTCACGGCCCACCCGTCGCTCAGCATCGTGGACTCGCTCAACTGGGCCGCCCGGGCCCAGGAGCACCTCAAGCTCCTCCAGGAGGAGGAGGAGGATCGAGCAGCGATGGCGGCCGCGTCGGCGGCGGCGACGGCGGCGGCGACGGCGGCAGGAGCGTCGGCGTCGCGTGAGCCGTTCGTGGGAGAAGCGAATCGCGAGCCGGAGGCCGGCAGGATCGATGCCGGCGCCGAGGGTCAGCTCGCCCGTCTGGGCGGCGCCGCCGAGGCGGCGGACAACCCGGGGCCGGCCCCCGTGAGCGTCGTCGCGGGGGCCGCGGCGCACGAGGCGGCACGGCCCAACGGCTCGGACGCGGCGCCCTGCCGACACGACGTCGGGGCGGACGCCGGGGCGCACTGCGCCACCTGGCGGGGGGGCGGCGGCGCCCGGATCGACACGCGTGCGCCGCCCGACGGACCCGAGGGCCCCAGCTGCTCACGGGTCGACGCGGGGGCCGGGGCTGGAGAGGGAGACCGGGAGCGCGACCGCTGCAGGGCCTCGGAGCCCGGTGGCGGCTCGAAGCAGCACGGGGTGAAGCGCGCGGCGGGGCCGGTGGCCGAACCGGCGCCACACGGCGCCGTCCCCCGCGTCTACTTCGGCGGCTTTGAAAACGGGACCAAGAAGAAGTTTAGAATTTCCGCTACGTCCGACTACAAGGCCGGGCTCAACTCCTACTGCAACAAGGTGCGCATCCGCCTCGAGCGCAAGGAGTCTCCGGCGCCGCGCACCCCGGACGACCCAGCCGCTCCGTCGCCGCTCGATGCCAAGCCGCCGACGTTGGCAGCTACCGCCGCCGTGAGCGCGAACGCCGCGGGCCCCTCTCCCAGCAAGCGGCGGTACCAGCAGCAGAAGGTTAAGCTGCTGAAGCTGAAGAAGGGCGCCGGGCGGGGAAAGAAGCCGTACTCGCGACCCAAGAAGACCAAGGAGCAGCTGTCGGTGCTCAAGAGCTTCTTCAGGGTCACGCAGTGGCCGTCGTCCGACGAGTACCTGGAGCTGTCGCTGCGCTCGGGGCTGCCGCGCTCCGACATCGTGCGCTGGTTTGGCGACACGCGCTTCGCGTTCAAGCACGGACAGCTGCGCTGGATCCGGGACCCGATGCAGCACGCGGAAGGCGCGGGGCCCGGTGGGGACGCTCCGGCGGGGGCGCCGGGGCCTGGGGTCGGGCGGGGGGGGCGGGGGCGCCGCGGCGGAGGCCCCCGCTCCAGGGGGGGGCATGGGGGCCGCGGGGGCAGGGGCCGGGGCTGCAGGCGGCGCCGGGGGGTGCGGGGAGGGAAGGCGGCGGGAGGGAGAGGCGCGCGGGCCGAGTTCGTCGGTCGGAGGCACCTGCAAATGCAGCAGCACCAGCAGCAGCTGGAGCAGCAGCAGGAGCGGGCGTTCGCCGTCGCGCAGCAGGAAGCGGAGCCGAGGCCGGGCGTGGGACGCGAGCCCCTGCCGGATCGGCGCGAGGGCGACGCGCCGGGGCCGACCCGCGGCCGATTCCGCCGCTTCCAGAGGCGCGGGCGGCCGAGCCTGCGCCGCAGCAGAGAGCGGACGGTTCTTCGCGCGGCCATCGAGGTCCCCGAGGTCGTCCAGGTCGCCGAGGTCGCGGAGGTGGCGGAGGTCGCCTGTGCCCCGCGACCCCGGCAGGGTCGACGTCTCCGGCGTCGTCGCGGACGGACACCGCGCGCCGTTCTGCGTGGGACGCGTCGCCGCCGCCGCCCCCGTCGCCGTCATCGCCGCCGCCGCGGGCCGCCGCGCCCCCCCGTCGCTCGACGCCGTGGAGGACGACCCCGAGAACAAGCTGCTGGAGCTGGCCGTGGCGGCCGAGATCAGGGAGCAGATGGCGCGGGCGCAGAGCGAGGCGCTCGCGCGCGACGGCGGCGCGGTGCCGCACGACCTTGCGGGGGTCGCCGCCGTCGCCGCCGCGGCCGCCGCCGCGTTCCCCTGCCGGGCCGAACTGCGGAGCGTCCCGCACGCCTGCGACCTCTGAAGACCGGAGGAGGACCGGCCGCGGCTCCTTCGCGCGGGGGGCGCCGCGTGTACATACGCGGCTTTGCTTGTCCGTTGGAGCGCGCTCGCTCGCTCGACCTCGGGACCCTAGACCCGGAGCCCGCGACTCGGAGGCAACGGCGGGATGGGGGGCGGGGGGCGGGGCGAGGGTGGGGGGGTCGGGCAGCTTTCGGGGGAGGGGGGAGGCGGCACTTGGCAGAGGAACCGCCTCACTCATTACCAACACGCAGCGCATCTGCATGTTGTCATAGAAACGCTAGCCGGGTACAGTTTTCAAGCTAATATATATATATATGTGTGTGTGTATAATCCGCGCGATGAGATTACGAGTAGAGAATGTACTGTAGCCGCACCCCACGCGGAATACGGCAGTGGAGGTGCCCCCCCCCCCCAACCACTTCCCCCGAGCAAGGCGATGGATTCGCGCAGGACTAGTCGGCGGTGCTGGGTGCGTGGGGCTCAGGCCACGGTGGCCCCGAGTGATCCACCGTCCCCAATCCGGAGGAGGACCCCACCGAGCAGGGCCGCCAGGGACGAGAGGTCATGTTGGGGGCGACCAACTGGGGTGGTGAGGTGGGCATGGCGCCCGCATTCGCCGTGCGGGCCGACGGTTTCCGCCGCGTCGTGTCCCCGCCGTACATTTCCTCGCGCTTTCAAAACGGAGTGAACGACGCGCGGTGGCGGTTGCGCGCGACGAGGGCGCGGGCATCTGGATCAGTCGCAGCGACGGGCCGCGGAGGGCGCGAGGTCGGAGGGGGGGGGGGCCTTTCGAGCGAGGTGCGAGAGCGTTGCGCAATCGCCGAGCTTCCAATCGGACGCGGGGGAAATCGCTCCGTTGTACAGACCAAGTCGGCGTTCGCCCCCCGCTCGTTGGCCACGGCTTCCCTGACGAGCCGACCCCCGACACTGAAACGATTCGTTGGCGTCCCCCGACCCTCCCGTCCCGTCGATCGTCTCCCAACGTCCACGGCGACCCGAGCGCCGGGAAGCTTGGCGCGTGCGGCCACGGGTCGCCGCCGGTTTGAGCGGACGAGGGCGGCCCTCTCTCGGTGGCCGCGTCCGCGCCGGAGCGGCGGATTGCTTCCGCGGTTTCGACGACGGGGCTCCAGCAAAATCGTCGCGTTCGCCGCGGCTCGCGACACGGCCGACTCGGCGCTGACGCGCGAGTTCCCCGACGCTCTCCGCGAGCTGCGCCGGACGTCGTCGCGGTGCGTGACGTCACATCGCAACAATCGTCTCCCACGCTGGCGATGCAGATGGGACACCCTGCGAGGCCTTTCGCTGACCCTCGACGTGAGCGGGCGGCGATGAGCGGCGTCACAGTGGCGTGTCGCCTTCTCCTCGAGAGAGCCTCGCCCGGCTCCCAAGACTCGATCTAAGGAGGGTCCTGCATTGGGACGTTTGGCCAATCCCTGTTCTTTAAGGGAGCGTTTTGTGTTGTCCATGTTCTCAAGTTCTTTCTTTGATTAAACCGTGCTTATTACTCGAACAAATATGTGCCAATTGGGAACCCAGTGATGCCAGGCGATGAGACCCCGAGTAGTCGAGTCCCTGTGACCCGAGTCCTTGTGACCCCGAGTCCCCGGGTCCCTGTGACCCCGAGGCGCCTGGGCGGCGAAGGGGGCCGCGTCGCTTGCCACGGGGTGGGGCCCGAGCAGCATCAGAGCGTTGAGCGTGAACATTCCAGTGGGCAGGGAGGGAGGGGCGGGGGCAGTGGGCAGGGAGGGAGGGGCAGCGCCCAGGCTCGAGTTGCCTGCTGCTCCCTCCTGGCACCCTCCTCCTTGCTTCCCCCCTGCCCCCACCATGACCCCCTCCCCTCTCTCCTTCTGCCTCCTCTTGTCACCATTCTGCCACTTCCGACTGCCTCCCACCCCACCCCCCGTCTCTTCCCACAGTCCTGCTACCCTCCCCTCATCCCTCCTCCTGCTACCCTCCCCTCATCCCTCCTCCTGCTACCCTCCCCTCATCCCTCCTCCTGCTACCCTCCCCTCATCCCTCCTCCTGCTACCCTCCCCTCATCCCTCCTCCTGCTACCCTCCCCTCATCCCTCCTCCTGCTACCCTCCCCTCATCCCTCCTCCTGCTACCCTCCCCTCATCCCTCCTCCTGCACCCTCCCCTCATCCCTCCTCCTGCTACCCTCCCCTCATCCCTCCTCCTGCTACCCTCCCCTCATCCCTCCTCCTGCTACCCTCCCCTCATCCCTCCTCCTGCTACCCTCCCCTCATCCCTCCTCCTGCACCCTCCTCTGATCACCTCCTGCTCCCTTCTCCGTTCCCCCAATCTTCCCACTCGCTTGCTCCCGTCATCGCTCCTCCCTCCTCCCCCCGCCCTTGCTCCGTCCTTCCCTTGCCTCTCCCCCCACCCCCGGCCCCCTCCCTCCCTCCCTCCCTCCCCACCCGAGCGTAGCTCCGCGTGGGCCCCGCGCATTCCGCGCGGATTTCAACCAAAGTCGCGCTATTGTTAGCGGCACCCTCCGTGGGGGGCAGTGGCGGGGGGGGGGGTTAGGGGGTGGGGGTTAGGGGGTGGGGGGTTAACGGCGCCGTCTCTCAAGGGGGGGGGCGGGGGGATTAGAGATCGTCCCCATTCATAAAACTCGCAGGTGACGTCACTCGGGTAGCGACAGGCTGCAGGGGGAGATGGGTGCGGGGTGGGGGCTGTGGGTATGGGATGAGAAGGGGCGGGGGAGGCCGGGCAGGGTGCAGAAGCCGCGATGCAAACTCCCTCCGCTGCCCCCTCCGCGCTGCCCCCTCCACGCTGCCCCCTCCACGCTGCGCCCCCTCCACGCTGCGCCCTCCACGCTGTCGCCGCGTAGCGAAGTCATCGACATTGGACTCCCAGACGGCGGCGACTCGCGCACCTGCGGTGCTTCACTGGTGCGGGCGAGCGCGGACCCCCCCCCCCCCCAGAGAGACGCAGCGAGAGCCACCGGGGGGCTCCCCACGCGCGGGGAGCCGAGCGGCGTGGGTGGTAGTGGCGGGGGGGGGGGGCTCCCGTACGAGACGAAAGGGAACGCGATTGTATCGTCGCCTCGTCACTCGGAATTCGTGACAGTGGCATCCCCGGGGTCGGGGCTCGGTGGGGACGTGTGCTCAGCGCCGCCCGTTGCCGATGCGTGACCCCCTCTCACTGGGGGCTTTTAAGGGAGGCGGCGGGGGGTGGGTGTAGGGAGGAAGGAAGGCTCTGTGAGCTGCCAGGAGCTGTTTATGGGAGGAGGGAGAGCCAGAGGGAGGAGGAGGAGGATGGAGAGAGCGAGAGGGAGGAGGATGGAGGGCTGGCCGCCGCCGAGGCTGCAGAGGGAGCCGAGATCACGTCTTTGTTTAGACGCGAACATTCGTCTCCTTGCGCCCTCCGCCTTCCCTCCCTGCACGAGGAGGAGGCGGCGGCGGGAGGAAAATCCCCGCTGTAGAAATCTTTGTAAGTTCCCCGGACCTCGCCTTTCGTGCGGTCTCAGCGACGCCGCCCGCCTTGCACTCGAACGCACCGCGAACTCGAGAGAGAGACGAGAAGCCACCGCCGCGATTCGTCGTCTGCTTCTGTCTCATCCATCACGAAGCTCCGCGCTGCTCAGTGTTTATATCAGACATCCACGCACGCTCGACTGTTAGAGAGCTAGAGCTTCCGCGGAGTTCCCGGAGGGGAGGGGCGGGGGGCAGGGGAGGAGGGGTATGGAGGGGGGGGGGGCACCAGCAGGGTACCCCCCTCCCCCGTATCCCCCACACTCCTCCCCCTCCGGACCCCGTGATTCTGTCAGCAACAATAAACGGTGATTAACCCGAGCGGTCGCGCCCTGCCTCCCATACTCTGTGTGTGTGTGTTGACCACTGGGGAGCGGTGGCGCAGTGGTTGGCGCACTGCACTACGACCCCGTGCCGGTACCCAGAGGTTCTCGCGAACAGGATCTTGCCCCCGGCAGCTTGTGTCGTCTGTATAGGGGATCTTTGTATTTGTTTAACACTTGGAAGACAAAGGCGGCCGGGCGTGACGCTTAGCCACACTACCTTGCTCGCTAGCAGCACTTACCCCAACTTTCTGTTAAGGCCGTGGGGGGAATTTGTGTATGGGGAGTGATGGCACAATGGTTAGGTCTACGAACCGAGTTCGATTCTTGTTCACGGCCAACATCATTGATGGATGTCTGAACATCTGAACCGGTCCTGTGCCTCCTCTAGGTCGACTCAACCTTTTGACTGATCCGGTAGGTTCATGCTACCAGCGGGAAGACAAAGGTAGCCGGGCGTGGTGCTGGCCACACCGCTCCCTCGTGCGCTGTTCCTTCCTTCATAGGTGCTCGCTAACAGCACTTGCCCGATCCGCCTGTGGAGGCTACACGGGGGAGCTGTGCCTGTGTGCGGGTGCACCTCGCCGATCAACCCATGGCACCTGGGTCATCACGTGACCTGCCCGCGAGCCGTCCACACTCCACCCGACAAGCCTCAAGGTGCACGTAGCCTGGCACAAGCACGGTGGTGACGTCACCGCCACTCGGTTGAGAATGGCGGCTGTTAACTGATATACAGGGATACCTCTGGGTCTACTCAGCTTTAAATTGCAGGTAGGAACTGTGTGAAGCGGTGATGCTGTGAGCTATGCAACCAATTATCTAGATTTGGAGTTTTCGTGACTGCAAGGATCCATACTCTGGTTCTTTCGGTAAAGTCCCTCATCTATATAACCCCCTGTTACTAGCAGCTCTTTTGCCCACTTCAGCAACTGTTTTTGCTGTGGTTGTCCCACCTGATGACGGACGCTTGTGTTGCGTCCGAAACGTCGTGATTTAATAATAAAAATACCTACGTGACTTTACCGAAAGAACCAAAGAGTATAGCTATGCAACCAGCCATCTAAGGGGCATAACATGTCTTCAGACGGGAGGAATCCGATGAGCTATAAAGCTCTTTTTCACATGTCCGGTAGACATCGGAGTTCGAATCCCCGCTCGGTCCGAGACTATCCCCCAACCCTCGGCTGACTCAGTCTAAAAGTAGTACCTGGGTGCAGTGTGTTAACATCAGTCTAAAAGTAGTACCTGGGTGCAGGGTATTAACATCAGTCTAAAAGTAGTACCTGGGTGCAGCGTGTTAACATCAGTCTAAAAGTAGTACCTGGGTGCAGGGTATTAACATCAGTCTAAAGTAGTACCTGGGTGCAGCGTGTTAACATCAGTCTAAAAGTAGTACCTGGGTGCAGGGTATTAACATCAGTCTAAAAGTAGTACCTGGGTGCAGTGTGTTAACATCAGTCTAAAAGTAGTACCTGGGTGCAGCGTGTTAACATCAGTCTAAA